TGTTAAATATGATGCACTTTATTGTTACAATAAGTGTTAAATATGATACACTTTATTGTTACAATAAGTGTTAAATATGATACACTTTATTGTTACAATAAGTGTTAAATATGATGCACTTTATTGTTACAATAAGTGTTAAATATGATGCACTTTATTGTTACAATAAGTGTTAAATATGATGCACTTTATTGTTACAATAAGTGTTAAATATGATGCACTTTATTGTTACAGTAAGTGTTTTATGATACACTTTATTGTTACAATCGGCGTGAACATCTACATGTTCTGTGTTGCAACTTCTTATTTAGTTTCAAGTTGACTGAACAGAGTGAATTGAACACGAGATGAATCTATTCAGAGTGAAACTCTTGCTTACTAAATAAGTTTTTAAAATTATTTTGTGTTGAAGTTTAAGAAACAAATAAGCTTATAAATTCTACACCAGCAGTTTATTTAATGTGTTGTAAATTAAAAATAAATGAAACGTTTTAAAGGCCAACATAACCTGCAAGCTAACAAACACACAGGTATGGAACTAGCACTGCTTGAAGGTATGCTTAGCACCTACTGTCACGCATGACAAAGTTTTAAATCAAACTTTAAATCTTTGGCTGTCTTTTAACCTTGAGTGTTATAAAATATATTATGGTTTGGTAATACTTAGGGTTTTAATTTTAATCCAAACAATGTCATAGATTTCATTAAGATCTGAGTAAAATGAGACATTTTTTTCAAACTGATATACAATTAAAAGAGAAAAGATAAACAATAAACACATCTAATGTATTATGGACAATGAAAACTAAATTTATATTCCACTGTTGTTTTACCCAATATGATCAGATTTGATTTCAGCTTTTGGCAACATTACTAACGGGTATAAACAGGGAGTAAACAAAAACATAAACACTGATGAGCATTTGAACAGATGCTTAATGAAAAAGTCTTCATAAGGACAAATAATTCATGGCACATGCAAGTGGAGACTAATAAATCTCCAAACAAATTAGCTGCAAACTCTGAGGAGATGCATTAGTGAGTTAATGGTAGCACACAAGATATTTGCAGGACATTTTCAGTTACTCACAATGGTGCAGGTGCAGGCTGTAAATCACAGCATGCCGAAGCATTAACCAGCAGTGATGCTCATTTACATTTTACAAATAGAAAAGCTTTTTGTACCTGCTGTTTGAGTGGCTTAAAAGGTGTTCGAGTGTCTCACAAAACAAAATGCAGACGACCCCATCTATGAATAGCGTCATCATTTCAGTAGTAAAGGCATCACGCTCGTAAATTTGGAGATTTGAGATTTTGTGGATCTACAGATTATTCTGAACTTATTCATGGATGAGCCAAAGTTGGAATACAAATTGATTTTAATAATATTTTGACTGGAAATGAAAAAAAAGTGACAAAAGCCTTAAAAACGTTACACTGTAGGCAATTAAGATAAATTTGAACGACTTTTCTTTTTCATCTAAAAAGCCCTATCAGAATGTTTTTGACTTGTCTCTGTAATAAATGTTTTTTTTTGCTATTGTAGCAATATTTTTTAAATTTGAACCACAACAGCTTCAACTCCATCCTTTGTCAACAGTTGACATGCAAATCCTATGAATAATTGGTCTTTAATTATAAATCTAAATTTGGCATAGTGATAAATAATTTTGTGCTTGACTCCATTTATTTATTTATTTAGAGTCAAATACATGAAATTGAAATCTAACTGTAATCTACATACTATGTTGACGTTTACACCCCAGAGTAATGGTTCAATTTCTTAGGACTTACCTTTTATTAATGAAAAAAAAATGCATTCAAGTTTTCTGAGCGCTCCTGTACTTATTGTAACATCAAGAGAGTAAACGGGCAACTTGGTCAGCATTTATGAATTTAGATACCCAGGACAAACATGAATAAATCAGCTAGCAGTTTCATCACCATTAGGGCTCTCATTCAATTTGTGCGAGGACAGGAAGGTTCCACGATGCAGACGGGACAAATATCAAGAAGATAATGATCGCTCAAGAGATTAAATATCTAGAAGTCATGACCAATCACTTAGACCTGAAGAAGCCTCTTGTATATTAGGCTAAATGCATTTCAAGAGCAAAATAAGTCCTCCTCTTTTTCACTCATACCCTTAAGGACACTTAAAATAGCCTCCAATAAAAGGCCTATTAATATTTTTAAAGTATACTTAACTTTGTTACCTTCAGCAGAAAAAAACTTTGTCTTCATAAGTCCATTTCATAGCAGGTACCTAATGTGTTACATTACAATTTTCTAGTCTCACCTCAGAAATGCTTCCATGAATCTACAAAAAGATACTGTTATCCTTAAAAGCATGTATTCATCTTGCTTTAGACCAGGGCTATTCAACTAAATTGCTCAGGGGGGCCACAGTTATGAAAGCTAAGAGCTCAGGGGCCGGACATCCAGCAGTCATTGTCATTAAGTAAATTTGTTTTAAAGTTTAAAATCTGGTTTTATTCAAAATTAACCCCTTGGTGGGCCGAACTGAGCTCACCTGTGGTCCTGATTTGGCCCCTGGGCCACCAGTTGAGTAGCCCTGCTTTAGACAAAGCCATCGGGTAAATACATTTCATTGTGTGTGTAACATCATGGTTCTGGTACAGAAAGCAGCCCGTCAGAGTCTGTGGTTTTGTATTCACATAAAAGAAGTGTCACATGTAGATGTGCTGCAGTACATACATGCTCCAGGTGTACGTGCGCCTGACTGGCGATGTCGTAGATCACGTCTCGGACGTTCTGTTCCCGGCTGCCACGGATGAAGTCCTCCTGAGAAGTGCCGTGCTGGAGAAAGACACAAAAACACAACCCATGCTGAAGATTTCATTTTGAGGTTACAGATGATTTGTCAATTTAACAAGTGAGACTATCGCTGCAATTCAGCTGGGCCCAGTTTAGCTCCGCTTCACACTGGGGCTGACTCATCTCTTTGGTTTGTTCAAAATACATTAAAGCAGCTCCAAGTTGGTTTCTGGTATATTCAGAATGGGCTCCTCTGTTCTGAAATACAAACATCTCAGACAACAGAATTTACCTATACTTCATTTAAGTGGCCGCTAAGATCAACCATATCCTCCATATGCATCATAATGATACTCATGCAGTTTTATAAATTAAATTATCGAGGTTAATTCTATTGCTTTTTCTGGTACCACTGTGTAAACAGTCAATTGTGTGAAAGTACAATTTCTTAACAAGATAAAATAGTTATAATCTTTTATAATAGGATTTTGTTGATACATTTTTGTTCTTTGCTAAATAAATATTCATGCCAAACACTATTATTGATGCTCCTGATAATGGCAGCAAGGGGATTACGTTTGATTTAGGGATGCACGATATTATCGGCATGGTATCGATATCGAACGATATTAGATAAAGTTAAATATCGGACATCAGCCATTCCATCAAAATAACTCACCAATATAAAAGACTTCTGTTTTAAGATCATTTTTAATTTAAGAAACTGTATATCTATTAATGCACTACTACTTATGCGCTTTTCACTTGTCGTTTGTGAACAGGTTTTTAGATTTGTGAAAATTTACAACTTTGCACCGTTCGAGTGTTGTCATTGTGTTAGAGAGAGTAAATATCATGAATAAATTTGACATTAAACATAATCCAAGTTGAAGCGTTACATCATTTTCAGCCCCCTTTTTGACATCTGAATTTGGTAGCAGGCCAAATTGACAAAGACCATGCAGAATAATGTATTTTAATTCCACAGCAGAGAAAGCTATATAGTCTCTGTAAGTAGGTCTAGGAAAAAATCTACAAAAAATTTAAAAAATAAAAATATCGGTATTGGTATCGGCCAAATACATTTTAACATATTGGCATATCGGCCAAAAATCCAATATTGTGCATCCCTAGTTTAATTTAAATAAATTGTCCTAAGTTCCTAAATAATTGCAGCATATGGACATTAGTCACATCAGCTGTTTCTGTAGGTACTGGTAAACACATGTAACGGGGAGCAGCCATTCACAAGTTTTGCTTACGATTTTTTTATTTAAAGGACATATTAACCATTGATATGAAAAAATAAAACTTAGATATACCTGAAAAAGAAAAATATATATTTTTTATCTATTTTTTCAGTTTATAAAATAGTTAATAGAAACATGTCAACTGCTCATTGAAATATTGCAATGCAAGAAAAAAAACATTTAAAACCTCTATTTGCCTAAATAAGACCTTCAAGAAAGCCAACTGTGTCTAATTCAGCATTAATTTGTAACATTTAAATAAGCCTAAAGTATTGTGGAAACTAGTCTAAGAGGTAAATGAAAAGTGTTTGGTAGTAGTGAACAAAGTCATATTCAGAGAAAAAGGGGTTGGAAAATGTGAGGAAAGAAACATCTTGCCTTCTGCTAAGCCTGGGGACAAATCAATTTTGCTTTTTGGTTTTATGTTGCAGTCAGTGGTACTAGTATCATTTCACCATCCTAAACACTCCTCAGCAGATGAAAGCTGAAGGTTTCACCATGAGTCTCACAGTCCCCTGATCTACTGTCATCAGAAACCTGCAGATGGGAGTCAGAGGGGCCGTGCATGAAAGTTCTTCCAGAAATCTCTTCAACCAAAAAGGAGCCTTTCAAAAAAAGATGACACATTAAAGGTAAAAAAAAAAAAAACTTTACATCAAAATTTGTCACAATGATAGACAATATGTTATATAATAATAATGATACAGTATGTTCTGAGGCTTCGTAAATGGTAGAAATGGTACCAATGGGCACTTGTGACCTGTTCAGGGTGTCCCCCGCCTAGATTCCTAGATGCCTAGATGCATAGATAGATGGATAGATGGATGGATGGATGGATGGATAGATGGATGGATAGATGGATAGATAGATGCATAGATAGATGGATAGATAGATGCATAGATAGATGGATAGATAGATGCATAGATAGATGGATGCATAGATAGATGGATGGATGGATATTCATATTGCCATTCCCTCTCGCTCCCTCAGATCATCCTCCTCCATCCTTTTGACTGTCCCCTCCGCCCGTCTCACCACCATGGGGAGCAGAGCCTTCAGTCGCTCTGCTCCCCGACTTTGGAACTCGTTACCACCTCACATTAGAAACATAAAGTCAATCTCACAATACAAATCAGAACTCAAAACACACCTTTTTAGATCTGCTTTTTCCACCTGACACAATTGGTTTTGCCTGATTTTATATTGATTTTATATTGATTTTATACATTGTCTTTTTTTCTTCCTTTCTTTTCTTTTCATCTCTTAGTTTCTGTTACTGCTGATTTTATTCTTTGTACGGTGTCCTTGAGTGCCAGAAAGGCGCCTTTGAAATAAAATGTATTATTATGATGGATGGATGGATGGATGGATGGATGGATGGATGGATGGATGGAT